GAGGTGATGGGGGGTGATAGAGGGAGGGGTTTGTTGGAGGGGAGGAGGGCGGATTTCATGCCTGTTGAGGGGGCTCGGGGTCTCGTTTCTGGTTGCTTTTGTTGTGCTTGTGGTTGAGGTTCAGATCTTTGTGTTCGTAGAGGGTGGTTTGTCAGGGATGTTATCTTCAATGGGGCGGGGATTGGTGACCGGCTTGAGTTGATGTTCCTCATGATGTTCTTCGGGGGTGGCTTTGGTGGGGCTGGAAAGAGGGAGAACCGGGGGTTGGATGTTTTCCTTGGGGCTGGTGAGGTTGAGGGAGCCGAGACCGGTGGCGGAGGGGGAAGGGGTGCTTTGGGGGGCTTGCTAGGTTCCCATGGTGTACCAGCAGGGGTGAGGTATGTTCTTCGTGCTTTGGAGGAGCGTTTGGTACTGGCTGTATCTGGATTTGAAGCTGGGACGGGTGGCGGTGGTGATGCTGGCAAGGCTGGTACCGGTGGAGAAGGAGCAGAAGGGAGTTCGGCGAGATTGGAAGAACCCTTTGATCGTCGACGGTCAAGCTCCGTGGTGGCATAGAACCACAGGGCGAAGACTGTGTCGACACTCCGGCGGTCCACGGCTCTAGGGGAGGGCGTTGCCTTTCTAATTTGTACCATTTCGTGCTCCACGTGTTGGGGTTGGGGAGGTGTTACTGGCCCGTACGTGTATTCATTGGCGTCGTCGCTTTCGTATAGTCCCAAGTCGAGTAGTGCTTCGGTAGCCACGGAGGAATTGGAAGGAGAGTGTGATGGTGATGATCTCGGTTGGTTGACCGGGACGGTCTGATATTCCTGAAAGTGATACATGGGTGCCTCTCTTGCTGTCCCTGAATCCCGCCGACGTTGTTTCCTGCGACGGCAGAGGAAGAATATAAAGGCAGCACCGGCGAGAACCAGGAGGATTCCCACAACAATGCCTGCAATGGCAAACCCTGGCAGGGCCCCCACAGTAGTCGGTGGCGAGAGAGAGGGAGGGCTGGTATTGGATGGACCTCGGACTCCCGTGGTGACCGAAGTGGCAGTAACAGTAGAAAGTGTCGTTCTAGGTCCAAAGTCGACCGGCGGCGTTCGAGACTCGCAGCACTCGCTCAGGGGAATAACCAATGTCGTCGTAGTAGGTGCCGGTCGCAAAGCTCTGACCACACGAGTTGTATGGGATAGGTCAGAACAGGACGTTGATTCAGGACTTAGACGAGACGCCACATGCATCTTAGACGCTCCATGAGATCGGAACAAAAGAAACACGGTCCATCTTTGGCTGTTGGTGGAGAACTGGGGGAACAACAGGAGATATAGAAAAGCAGAGCAGGCAACCGGCAGCTCATATACTTGTCCGAGTGTTCTACAAAGGAGACTCGGTCCTGCAACTGTGAGGGACAGGAATTCTGCCTTTGCCCTCCAAGCTGCCGCATAAGGTACGCGGCATGGCAGTGGGCAAAGAGAGGCAGTGCCATTGCGGGTGGTCCATGACACCGGGGCCAAAGTGGGAATAGGGAACAGGGTGGTACCACAGCTGACTACATCCAGCGGCGTAGACGCTTTGGGTGTGTCCGATGTCAGTTGCTGTAAAAACACGGTGGAAGCAGTCTTTGCTGATATGTGTTTGCGGCAAACTCTAAGCGCCTGGCGCGCGCACCTTTAATGATGGAGGTGGGCAGACAAGAGTTATTGGACTCGTGCTTCGGACTAGATGTCCTCCAAAAATCAATATTTCAAACTGGTTGTACAACACCATAACGCGTCAATCGCCTACTTAAGCGCGCTTCTAGAAGCCGCCCATCGCTTGATGAGGGGAAATCAGAAGACTATTGAGGTTGTGCCGCAAAAGATCCTGCCTCGTATGTTGGATGTCCGAATCTCTCCACAAAGATGATGCTGTTGACTGCAGACTCTGACATCTAACCCTGAGAGAGTTGGAAGATTTTCATGCGGCACAGAAGATGTAGCGTGAAAATCCGGAGGTTCGCCGCCGCCCGAGTTGGTGATGAGTGAGTTCATGGGGCAGATGTGGAGAGACGACCCCTGACGCCATCTCCGGTGTTACTCTGTACTTGGTTTCTGAAGGTATGACGCAGAGGCTGAAGATTTTAGAACAGGCGATGATGCCTCTCTCAGAATATCCTCGCTCGGTACCGGCAAAAGGGTAATCCACAAAAAGATCAACGGAACTCTGGAGTGTTCTAGAGATCCCAAGATATCTGGGGAGAGTGGGGGGTTCGACGCCTTGATTTGCCGGCAGCACCTATTTTGGCATGCAGAAAGGGGGCCACTCGGCGCTTATTCAGAGCCAACACCACCCAAGATCTCGTGGCAGCCCTGTCCCTATTGTCCTTTCTTGCGTGCTTTGGAATGCAAGAAATCTGTAGCCGCGGGAAACACTGCAGTTGGTTGCGCCAAAGTCGGTAGACGGCCCGTTCGGGAAGGGCTTGTGTGTGTTGGCCTCAGTTCGTCCAGGTTTTCGGGGTTGTGTTGCCAAGTCGTGCCCGTGATGTTCTGGGTGAAGAGCAAACTGCGCCTGGTTGTTGTGGGCAGTGTTAGCTTTGTGGTGTCTTGGTGATCAGTTCTGAAATCAACACTGTCTATCTAGTGCTTGTGTAACTGGGAACCACGCCGAGGGGGGGCGCACAGGTTTAGTTTGCCTGCACGTTTTGGTGATGCCGAGCTGTTTAAGTCGGTGCCTGACACAGTATGACAAAGCCTTACGGTGACGATATGCGATCGACGCAGTTTCAACTCTGATGATGGAATCAACACCGAGAGGACCTTGCCTACGGAGTTTAATGCCATCGGTGTGTTTTGTGAAGCGCACCTATATGGCAACGCAAATGAGAAGTTGACACTAGTTCATGACATGGTGAACACGAGAGAAGCAGGACGTCGAGAGATTGCGAAACATATAAAAAGAACAGCAGATGAGCTGTCGAGCGAGGGATGATGAATTTATCGCCAAATCGGTAGGTGTTTGCTCGTTGCCATGGCGGCGTGGGATGAAGTCGAGATTGCCTCGTGTGCCTGAGCTGAGATCCTTCGGCGGGATCCCCTAGCTGTTTCGTCTTCAACTGCCGGCTGCGACAAGCAGGAGACAGGGGACAGGAGACAGGAGACAGGAGACAGGAGACGGAAGTCAATCAGCCTGGCCCCTCTGAAAGGCTGGCCTTGCTTTGACTTTGGAAGCACCGCGCATTGCTGGGTGATGCTGTGCCTCACACTCGGCTATCTGGCTGTCTTTGGTAGGGCAGACAGTTTGTGGCTCCCGCGACTCCTTACTGCACCACACGCGGCAAAAGCCACCAGTTCGAGGATCTGGGTCGAGAGGGTGTTCTGTCATCCAGAGTGTCTGTTGAAGATGACGGCTTGGCCGGGTTGGTGATCATGAACGTCTCGTCTCGATGCGGGCCAGAGGTTGGTGCAAGATTCGCGTGCTCCCGTCTGACCAGATCTTTTGTGTGGCATGACACAGACCCCAATTAAAGTGCTATCTATATCCGGTCAGCTATAGGTTGCTGTCTGCAGCAGGATAAAAATGACACTTCCCCTCCTGTTTCTTGCAGACTGGATTGACACGATGCCTGAAGCTGTAAAGTGCTGGCCAGGTAGAGACCCATTGCCAAGATGGTTGCTGTTTGAGGTTGTCGAAATGCATTCAGCTGAAAACGAGAGAGAAAGCGACGGCGTCGGCACCGGGGGACGGGACCCACCAAGGGCTTCCGAGCCGAGCGGCCCCGCCGAGGCCGGTGGTCTCGGGCTGCCAAGGACCGAATCACTCGCATCAACAGCACTGGCGTTTGACGGGCATCGGTCCGTCAATTTGCGACCAACCAATGGGGTATCGAATCATGAAAGAAACGGAAAACCTAGCCCCACTTGATCTGCCCAGATTCCACCACGGCGCGTAGCCGAATTTAGCGTCCGCTGTCCTGATCGCAGAATGCACGTCGGGAGGGAACGCCGAGACCCCGCTGAATGTTTCTTCCATCATCACCTGCACTATCACCAGCAGCTACTTGGATTCATCACAGCGTCTTTTGAGTTTTTTTCTTTGGATGAACGGCAGGTCATGATGGACTCGAATCCCCGCAATGTGGTACAAGATGTCGTGGCCTGTAGGACATGGACAGATACGCTGCATACGTTTCATGTACCGTTCCTACATTAGGGCCGGGTCCATGGCGTCTTCCTCCGGCAATTGCGAGATACCAAGAAGCAAAACGAATCCTTCAGCTTGGGTGATTCTTCCCCGCAACTCGACATCTTGGGCAAGACATAAACGGACTCCTCTTTGTGTCACACCGTTTCCTTCAAACAGAACAACAGCAGTAGCCAGCAGCATGCTTTGAACCAAGGTCAAAGGTCACATCTGCAAAACACCGAGCTGCTCGGCAGGTTGGCGGCGCTTAGGGAAGCCATCCCGTTGGCTACCCTCTTTCCATCAGCCTATTCCACCGTTTTCCCCAGCTCGGAACGGTCGCCCAGAATAGCTCACGTCCGCAGCAACCATATATCCCCACGTGGTGAACGGCAACCCCCTGCGCCTTTGGGGCACTGCTGCTGTTCCCCTCTCCGTTGAGATCTTGCTGGACTGAATCTGCTTCCCGTCTTGGTGCTTGTGATTTGGAAAGGAGTTGGGATATTCTTCCATTTGCGACAGATTCCACAATACAATGATTGACGACGCCGGACTGCAATGATCTTGTTTGGTTGTTTAAAAACACAGTATTCGAAGTGACCACCAGGTCGACTTGGGCTTTCCAATTGAGAGGAGGGGCATCTTCCAGCACACTGGCGCCGCCCAG